TGTTCTACTGAGCACAACGTGTCTTTCAGTAGATTCCTCTTGCTTATCCGTGAGTGACGCGCACAATTAACAATATTGGGATTTTCTCTGTGTTGCCTGACGTAACGTTCATGCCGAGGCCGATTTCTGACGACCTGCAAACCTGTTTCTAGTTGCCACTTGCCTGGAACGTTTTTTTTTCAAGGCGGAACGCTTTTTTTTAAGTGAACCTCTAATCTTAGATTTCCACTCTGATAGTGGCAAAGCTGAGAGTTTTTTAGACTCTCCCTCAAGTTTGTTTTTGAGTCCCATAAGTAGACCAATAAAGTATCATGGATACCAGAATTATCATACATAAGAAATTAGTTCAAATTTTGAATAAATGAGGAAATTAAAAATGAACTGATTCTAAAAAATCTCTGGTTTGCCACTATGTCTATCAGTCACACCATTTTCCCCATCCGCCCGGCCACCGGCACCCACTTGCAGTCAAATTCTCAACCAAAATGTTTTAGTTTAGTTAGAGTAGACAGCCTACACCCTACAAAGCTACAACACTCAACACAAGCTTTTTAAATGTGCTAAAATCTCTGAAAATAGCTCATAACTCAAAAGTAACCTAAAACTTATAATTTTTCCAAAAAAGTACCAAAAATTGGAACATTTTTACAAAAATTTTTTTAAACTTCAATTCTTGTTGTTTGTCTGCTACTGTGCTTAGTCAGTTACTCAGTTAGTGTGCTACAATATCATAATAGATCATAGGTAGGCTATGTAAGTTATTTAGCTAACACATTTCTAGGTACCTGTCAAAACGATCTGAAATTTTGCACACTTGTGTAAAGTTGGAGACAATGCTTTTTTCAATTGACAGAATAATAGATTTAAAAATTTTTTTTTATTTTTTTTAATAATAAAAATTTATAAACATTTTTTCAAACAATTTGAAAAAATGATAAAGATAAACAATTTTCATTAAGATCAGAGGAAAACATTTTTTTTTGGTGCACATAGTGATAGTGAGTAGCAAGTTGTTGACAAATGACATACCTTTTACTTTTAGGCTTTTACTAGGAGACTCAAGGTCAAGGAGTTACTAGACTAGTTAGTAACTTAGTACTTAGTACTCAGTTAGTTAGGTAGTTAGACTAAGTTAGTGGTAGATAGAAATTATAGCATTGAATATTAGTAAAACTAGGAAATACCAGAACTTACAGATCAAAAGTAATGATATTGAGAGGCAAGGATATAATTAGTAAAGATTCTAGCCTCTAGGTTTTGTGATCTATCACACAGTGCAAAATTCAGTGGTACCTGCAACAGCTAGCTTTAGTAACATCTCGTCGGACGACAGACAACTGGCCGGATTCGGTTGCTAAAACGCAGAAACTATGAAAAGTAATGGAAAAAAAGATGATTGCAAATTAAGAAGACTGATGGAAAAAAGATGAATGCAGGGGACGAGAGATACGCATGGTTAAACTAAATAAGGCTAACCCACCAAGATTTCCGTCTTCCAGTTCAGCTTTCTTGTTCCGTCGCTGAGATCCAGAAACGTGAACAATTCCGTCATTTCCATTACAGAGTGTCAAAATGGGCCCATTGCCCCACCCCAGGGGCAATAGGCCCATGGGCTTGGGGCAAGGCGCCCACACATGGTCCCTTTACCACAAATGCATATTTTTCGTTTAAAAATGAAGAAACAACACTTTACAGTTAAAAATACGAAAATGTAATAAAAAATATGACATTCACTCATTTATTAACAACTCAAAAAATCATATACTTAACTTGAAAAAAATACTCTTGACTTAAAAAATCTATCACTGACGTGAAGAAAAATATTTCATTGACATAAAAATATATATCCTTGACTTAAAAAATATATCCTTGCGATAAAAAATTCGTCCTTGACATGAAAAAATGTATCAATCCCAGTGAAACTGTCGACCGGCGGTAGAGAACACGGACCAATATCTGCCATACTTAGCGAGAAACCCGCTATGGGCCCATGACCCGCAGTGGGCTCGCTGCCCCATGTTACCCTATAGTTCAACCATGAATTAATACCCGTGCCGTCACTGAGATCAGTGACGGCACAGGCGAACAACGAACTGCATCCGCAAAAGTGAGCTTCTCATAGGTTAACCTTATACTAGTTCAACCATGAGAGATACGTATGAAGTACACTAACCGGTAATATACGAGTCGTGCATTGCTATGTAAGTGCGATCTGCGAGAGACATAGATGATCTAGGTGGTAGTGACTTTTGAAGGCGTCGTAAATAAACTCAGATAGGACAGTTGTCACACCTGGTCATGGCTATTACGTATTTGCATTCTCTTTTTAGTTGTACTGAAGCATTACCTGTTTTCTACGACTTTAGGCGCAGTTTACTTGGCCGGTGTTCAGCCTCACCATGTCTCCAGCTATCTGGTCCCCGTGAGGAATGAGATTAAATCCTTCATCACGATGTGCTGCTAATGTCTTTCCACGTAACTCGCACCAAGCAATGTGCGCTCCCTCAGTGTATGTTTGCCAATGACCAGCATAATCCTTCTTATATGTTGGCGAGCATCATTGAAATGACTGCTCTCAATCGGAAAGTGGTCAATGGTTTCAACCACGTTACATGCGATGTAAAATGGTGAGTCAGTCATTGAGAAGCGATGTAGGTAGGTCGTTACACCAGCATGTCCAACTCAAAGCGGAGTCAGCACAATGGACGCTCTACGAGATCTAGCAGGTCAAAATGATGATGGTCTAGCGGGTAAAAAAAATATTACGGCTGGAAAAAATTGTAGCCGAAGCAAAGTGGTACGCAAAAAAATGTGGATGAAATGAATCGATGTGAAAGGTAGAATTTGTAGAAACAAACAATGGGCAGAAAGGATTAACTTAAATTTTACCAAATGGGAGAGATACACTGTTATTGGTTTATCCCGTCGTTTTTGTGATTCGTTTCATTTATTCACTGATTTGCAGACTTAGGCTTTTCTGAACAATCCTCAATGATGTAAAATTAATGCTTGCCATCAAAAAATAATGACAACGAATTTACACAAACGAAGACATTTGGTTCTTTAGCTCTTCATCGACAGCCTGAAAACCCTCTCTTCGGGTGAGAGTACAACACCTGCAACAATTAACATTAGTTGCTGCGAGACCGAAGATAAATAACTTTAAATTATCCGCTTGGCGTCCGATTTTTAAACCTGGTATCGCCCAGCCAGCTTCAGACGACTACTACTGGCCTCACGACTACTACTGGCCTCACGACTACTACTGGCCTCACGACTACTACTGGCCTCAAGACTCCTACTGGCCTCACGACTACTACTGGCCTCACGACTACTACTGGCCTCACGACTACTACTGGCCTCACGACTACTAGTGGCCTCACGACTACTACTGGCCTCACGACTTATACGGCTTTTTCAGTTGTATTCGCCAAATTTCAAGAAGATCCAACAAACCGCGTAGAAAGTGAGCGTGTATTGAACACGTAAGCACGGGCTCCAAATAAATACTGTCTTGAACTCATGCGAATGCAGTGATGACGTCATATCTGTGTTGACTGTTAATCATTTTCCAAATTTCCAATCCATATATACTGTTGCTCAATTGTCTATGTTAATTAATTATTAAAAGAAATTTATGGGATCAGCCGCAACGGGATCGACGGCTCACTCAGATATTGAAATCAAATCGGTAACTCCAGCACTTTTTACGTGCAACAGATCTAAGTTAATTCATTTATTGCAATAATTCATTCAAAGTGAATTCATTAATTTCAATAATTCATTCTAAGTTAATTCATTAATTTAATTAATTCATTATAAGTTAATTCGTTCGTTTCATTAATTCATTATAAGTTCATTCACATTCAGCGGAGCATCACATTCATCACATAATGAATGTAATAGAATAGAATAGAATAGAATAGAATAGAAGTGTCGGCGTTAAAGAAATAGGCCCATGGCCTGTTGCCGATTCTTGAACTTTTCGTGACTTGATTCACAACTTGAGAATAAGCGGCTGTAAAAGGTGTCAGGGTAGAGGAGGTAGCTTGGCCACAGAAACAAGGGCTCTATTGTTCTACGCTGGCGGGGCAGTGCTGCACGTTGCCCTCGCCTGGCCTGTTTGCGTCCCTCGCTGACTCTTGATCGCGTTATTTCAGATGGAAACACTTTTACTATCGGCTTTTTTTCTATTTGCACTCTATTTTACTGACTTCACTGAAAATTCAGTCATTCACTGACACGGATCATAAAAAAATGCAAAAAGAGTTCCGAAAACGGCACAGTTAAAGTTAAAAGTTGAAAATCTGGGACCGCATAACACGAGCGTCCGCTCTCGACCACGGCTGAAACTTGACTGACTCAATAATAATAATATCTATCAGTAAGGCATATCTAAGTAATATTCAGATAGGCCTTACTGATAGGCCTTTTTTGGGGTGTTTTAATTGAATGTGTCCAACATGCATTTTTCCGTGTTACTTTGGACATGTTCGACTAGCCCTTACATCCGGGCTCCTCTGATGCCAGAAGCGCTTTAAAATAAAGCTAGTCCGCTCATTGACGATAAAAAGAATGAAAATATTAAACGGCCCCCTCAAGACTGTGAATTTCGTGTTGACCGTTTTGAAGGGGTGCCAGCCAGACAGCCGGAGACCTGCTATGCCCAACTCTCCACTTAACTTCATAAATCGTTCCGTGGACAACAGCACTAGAGACCATAGTAGACTCAGAAGTTAAGGGCTTGAAGGCATTAGCGCATAAGTACGACGCCGCTGCTTTACGTGAGTGAGTGGAGTGGGGCATTTGTTGCAAAAAAGGGGAGAGCGAAGAAGTTGGGCCTGCTGGGCCTAGTTAGATCTGCATGTGGGGCATAGCTAAGCTACGGCTGCACGTGACTTCCAACGCCATTGCTTTAACTGAATAGTGTGCAAGCATGTTTGACTAAGGCAAGGACCTGGATTTATCATTCAGTTACGTAGAATAAGATATAGAAGCTCACCCATTTTCCTGGTATTGGTGCTGTGCCCGAAAAGTTTTGAGTACCCATCAATATGGCAGGGTGGCCCAGTGATTAAAGTTCATAGAACATAGGATAGGAGCAGAGGGGTTCGGGTGGACGGCGTGGCAGCTGCGTTTCCACCCTGAAAAACTCAGTGTCCCACGTGTGAGATCCCAAGTAACGGCACGCAGTACATCATGAAGGGTAGGGACGATATGGGCAATGAGTATGTCACGCCGCTGAATGAGAGCGATGCGATTCAGAGAAGGATTTGGGAGGACTAGTTGATAGAAACCTAAATTTTTAGTGTCATTTAGCATCAGCAGATGGAAAAAGCAAGCAAGATCGTTGTGATCATTAGACGTACATTTGGCTAATTTATCCCGGAGAGGCTCATTTTGCTATTCAAGTCCCTTGTTTGGCCAGTTCTTCAGTATGGGCACTCGGTATGGTAGCCGCCTCACAAGACCCTTTGCGCCAACCTAGAAAATATTTAGAGAAGAGCCACCAAATTGATCGCAAGCCTTAAAGATAGTCCTTACCCAGAGCGCATAAAAGTCTTGGATCTGCCAAGCTTAGAACAGCACAGACAGAGAGGATTCATGATCGATGTCTTCAAGTATGTTCATAGGGCGTGCGATGTGGACAGGCCGCAAATGCGCCTTCACGGCGGCAGAGACACGCCGGGTAACAGTTTGATACTTTCCAAAGAGCGCAGCAGGCGAAACGTGAGAGCAAGCATCTTTTCACAGAGGGTTGTTTCCAAATGGAAAGGTCTCTCAGTGTTGAAACTGCACCCTCTATAAACGCTTTCATAAACAGGCTTGAACATACATGCAATCATATGCTGTAATAACAGCCTGGTCATTTTACTAAGACGAGTGAACTGGCAAAAGAGCCTACTACATCGAAAGTAACAAGAATAATCTATCTGATCTCATAAACGACAAAGCTATTTATTCACCATACACTTATGCAAACATTGTCAAAAAAAGTAACACTTTGTCTGTACGTAATGCGATAAACGTTTGGTTTCATGCCTCCTTTGCAGGCCTAACTAAGCTAGCTTTGGAGTACTACGTGAAAACGAAGTAGGCACATAACATGGCATAGCGGTTTCAGCGTTTATTAGTCCGTAGGCCAGTCGCCGATTCTTAACATCAGAGAACATTCACAGCTTGTTGCGGTCTCGAACTCACAACGCACTGCTCCAAATTCTGCTGTGCTTAACCGTCCGGGCTCCTCGCCGATTCCGACCAGAAACTGACGCACTGAGCTGGGATCGAACCCGGGCCTCTCTGCGCCATTCCTGGTACTCTGATTACAGTATTACTGTAATCACTGGGGCACTGCGGTTATTGATCACATAAATCCAACTACGCTCGCAGAAGCGCACAGTGAATAAATAGCTTCAATTATGATCTGGTCAATATCGGTTTTGATTTGAAATGCTTGTGCCCCGAA